CTTTTAATAAATCAAAGCAATGCTTCGATTACGATTAAGCTACACTTTTATTTTTATATAAGTACTCGCTCCTTTTCTTTTTCTTTTTCTTTTTTTCATTATCATTACAACTATATTCTATTTAACTTCTTAACCTTAACACTTAACTTCTTAACCTCAACCTTAACATTCAACTTTTCAACTTCTACCTTAACACTTAACTTCTTAACCTTAACCTTAATACCCAACTTCTTAACCTTAACACTCAACTTCTTAACCTTAATACTCAACTTCTTAACCAACCTTAACACTTAACTACAATTATATTTAACTTAAGTGTGACGACCTTAAGCGATTACCTAAAGGAACTTACGGGAGCGCGGGGGTTTATATAAAAGCTTAAGAGAATCTTAAAATAATGACTTAAAATCAACAAGTACCGAGTATAAAAGTCGAAAGTAGCTAAGGTCTATATATACGAAAGTAAGAGCGCTAAAGACTCGTGAACTATAGTTTATAAGTCAAAAGCGAAGAATAAGAGAATACGAAAAATACGAAAGAAAAAAAAAAGAAATAGCTTAACGTATATAAAGTGCGTCCAAAAGACTTAACGTGTCGTCATACTACTTTCCCGTCCGAAAAAAGCTCGTCTTCGAGCGTTTATCTATTGCTTTATCATTGCTTAAGTGATCGTAGTTATTAATACCGTTCGAATAAACTTTAATCTATTCGAAAAGCTTCGCGAAAAAGCCGAAAAGCTTTTTGTGTTTTAAATAAAAGTTACGTACTTTAAAAAAAGCGTATATAAAATCGAAAGCGAAGTATTAAGTAAAGTTAATATCGCGGCCGAGCTAAAAAGCGCGGTATTTAAAGTGCTTTTTAATTTAACAGACTGTTAAGATGTTTTTTACTTCGTACTTAAGTTCGTTAGTGATATTAATCGAATCAAGTTCAAGAATGATTTGCTTAAAAGTAAAGTTATTAAAAGCTTTACGTAGCCGTTCGAAGTAAAAGATTAAGTGAACTTTTATTAATTCGAAAAGCTTGAGTTTAAAACTGCTATAAACGTTATTAGTAACTTCGAACAGTCCGTTCGTAAAATTATCGAGCTTTTTTAACGGTCGAAAAGTAAAGAACGAGCGCATATTTAACTAAACTTTATTATTAATATCGAAGTCAATCGAACGCTTTGATTTATTTGCTTGTTTAACTATATAATCTTAAGCGCGCTAAAAGTGCTTTTTAACGAAGTTCTAAGCTTCGAGGTAGCGGTTAACGTAAGCGCGAGCTTCGTCTTAATTAAGCTTGCGAGAAAAAGTTTAATCGTTAAGTCGTTTTAAGCTTTAATTCCAAGTGGTTCGAAAAGCGTAGCCGTAAATTATTTTAAAAAAAGAAAGACCGCCGAAAAAGTCGTAAAAGAGCGTTAATTAAGCGAAGTCTATTACAAAAAAGAACTCGCTTTAATCGTCTTGATAATAGCTTACGAAAAGACAGAAGCGCTTTTGCAAATACTAGTTGTAGATTTCGGTTTAACCGTTAGTTTTAAAGTGTGCGGCGATGTTAAAAGTTAATTTAATGCCGAAGATCCTATTAAATTCTTTTTAGAATTCGAATTAATATTAAGATCTTTTATCAAAAGTCAATATTAAAAAAGCTTTAAAATACTTATAAATATAATAGATATAAAGCTTAACGAAGCTTTTAGCGTCGATAAACTTATAACAAAAGATCGAAATTGCTTGCTTAAAAAAGCAATCGATTATTATAAAAACGTTATCGTAACCGTGTTTGTCTTTATTAAAGCTACAAAAGTCTATAATAACGTGCTTTTAAAAGCGCGAAAGGATTGAGAAAAGTTAAAGCAAATTAAGTTTTTTATCGCAAAGCATTAAAGCTCGTTTATAAGCGTAGCAGTTACGGCAATATTAATTAACGAATCTAGCTATACCGTACTAATAGTATTATACTATAAAGAGCTTATAAGTTTTGCGAAAGCTAAAGTATACTATAAATACTTAATCGTAGACTTTTCGAACGAATAACGAGCGCAAGTTTTAAACGTTAAAAACTAATAAGCGGCCGTCATAAAGCAGCAAGTCGCTTTTTATAATAAGTTTAGCTCGTGAACCGTGATTCACGAATAAAGATTTAACTTTAAAAGCTTAAATTCGAAATGCTATAAAACTAAAAGCGGTCCGATTAACTTTTAAGATTTAATTAATAACTCGAAATATCAGTAAAATCTTTGCGATCTTTTCGATAATAATAGCGGTCTTTAAAAGCGTAAGTTAACGTAGCTTTTCGATTAAGAGTCGTAAGTCAACGTTATCGGCGCAAAGCAGCGTTTACAAGCGTTAAGTGCGCTTAAAGCTATTTTAAGAAAAGAGCTTTTCGATACGACGTATTAGCGCGTTAGCTAAAAAGTTGTCTTTACTTAATCTATACGTAATAATAAAGTTATAATCGAAAAAGAGCTTTACTTAACGTGCTTAACGAGCGTTAAAAGTCTTAAAAGTTATAAAATATTTTAAAGCTTTATAATCGGTGATTACTTAAACTTAATAAAAAGAACCGGCGAATTCGGCGCGGAAGTTATTAAAAAAGCGTATAATAGCTAGCATCTCTTTATCGTAAACGACGTAATTAAGCTTAGCGAAAGTGTAGTGCTTACTAGCACTAAGATCAAGAAGAGATTCTGTAGATTGAATGAAGCTTGGTATATTCTATTTAAGAAGCTCGTCAAGATCTATGTACATGTACTTAAGAGCTCCAGTGTGCTAAGGGCGCTATTAAGCGAGGTTACATGACATATCATATGTAGCTTAAGTAGAGCATGCTTATTCCGCATAACACATTCTTTAAGTTAGCAGAACAGCTGCTGAGCTGCAAGCAAACAAAAAAGAAAAAAAATGAGTGATTAAGCTTTTTAAACTCGATGTAAATAAAAGAGATTGTCATCGCAATCCAAAACAAACAAATAGCGGTTGTCATTATTGATTAAGTGTTAATCAAGAATGCAATTCTTTTTTAAATCGGTCTTATCACGTAGCGGAAGTCCTTAGCGCCGTCCTTATCGCGTTGCTATATAAGTGGGATCGCGTCCGTTTTTATTATAATAAACACTTAACTTTTATTTATCTACATAATGCTTTTTAAGCAGGTAACTCAGTCTAGTGGAATCGTTAAGCGCGGCCGAAGCCGTCTAAGAGTAAGTGCTCTTGACAGATTAATATATCTATGCTAACTATTAGGAGAATCTTTTCTTTGCCTTAGTTATTGCTGCTGCTGCAGCTGCGGCGGCTGCGGCGGCTATACTACGCACTCTCACCCCCGAAGCTTCGCCCTCTCTTTTAGACCCTCTTACTAAGCGCTTGCTTATGCTAACGACCGTCAAGGCCTTAAAGTGCATTAGGTGCATTAATAATAGGATCACATCGAGGTCTAATAAAGACTGCTATAATTGCGACACGAGCGTTATACGCTGTCTCCGGTGTGCTAAAAGTAGCTATAGCAACTGCACTGCTGCTTCTGCCGCTGCTAACACCGCTTTCGATAACTTCGTAAGCGCTAAGGATAATAGTGCTATACAAAGAGTTCGCCGAGGTCTCCGAGATGCTATGCGACAATAGCTCGCCTTAGATGCTGCTTTTTCAAGAGGTGTTGCTAGTGGTGCGGGCGGTCTAGCGAGTAGAAGTGGAGGTTTTAAAAGTAGTCCCGGTGGCCTTGCAAGTTTTGCTCCTGCTCTTAGGACCTTCAATTTGAATGTGGCCCCTGTTGGATTGAATGGTCCTGTGGCAGCGCTCCGAGTCGGTGGCTCTTAACTGATGTGCAAAAGCAGACCTGCAATGCACATTGCAGTAACCAGTCTTATAACCCTAATATTCCCGCACGACACACCCCTTAGAGCTGGCCGGTTGACTTTTACCGACTGCTCTGTAAACCACGCTGCGGTTATTAGCTTTTTTATTACTTATCGAAAATGGATTTTTGGTCAGCGATATTATTTGCGCAATTGCGACATCGCAGCCTGACTGATAAGTCACCATGTCTTATCGATAAGGATGCCCCGCAGCTAACGATGGCGGGGTAGCACCGGGTTTTCGGCTAAAAAAACTTTGTTCTGCGCTCAGCATAGCTTAATGACAGCTAGCGATCGATCGACCAACTGAGCTATCGGAGCGAATGTGGCTCTTAACTGTAGTGCTTACCAGCACTAAGATCAAGAGGAGATTCTATGGATTGAATGAAGCTTGGTATATTCTATCTAGGAAGCTCGTCAGGATCTATGTACATGTACCTGGGAGCTCCAGTGTGCCAAGGGCGCTACTAGGCGAGGTCACATGACATGTCACATGTAGCTTGGGTGGAGCATGCCTGTTCCGCACAACAGAAAGCTATAGTTTTAAAATAATAAGCGATTAATAACTAGTCGGAACTATGCTTTTAAAAAAAAACTAAAGCGATTACGCCGTCGAAAGCGTTAGTCTTTAGCATATAAAAAAGGTTTTAATTGTAATGCTATAAAATTAGCGCAATAATTAAAGCGAGCTTTAAAAAGTCGAAGCTCTTTTAATATTAAGAATTAAATAAATAAAGAACGTTAGCTTTAATCAAGTGCATTAAAAGCTTTGCGATCACGCCGTAATTTCGAATAAATCGGCGGTAAAAGTTATAAAATCTAAAAAAGCTTTAAACGCTTTTAACGGTTATAAAAAGCGCTTAATGCTTTATTATCGAAGTCTTGTCCGGATCTACTTTTAAGCTTTCGATAAAAATAATAAAACTTAAGTATTTTACTTTAATAATACTAAATTCGCACTTTTTAATATCAGCTTAAAAGCTAGCGTCGTCGAGTCGTTAAAAAACTTAACGGACGTAATAAGCGTACTTCAAAAGGTCGGAAGAGTAGATTAAGATATCGTTTAAGTATACTATGCAAAAGATATTTAAAAAATCGAAAAAAAGGTTATTTATATAGCGTTAATAAATAGCGAGTCTATTAGTCAATCCGAATAAAAGAATCTTATACTTATAAGCACCGTAACGTGTTCTGAATATAATAAGCTTTTTTAAAGCTAAGTCTATCCGTATTCTATAAAAGGCTTGCCGAATATCGAGTTTCGTAAAGATTTTAGCTCTTAAAAGACGTGCGAAAGTCTTATCGATTAAAAAGAAAAGGTATCGATCTTTACGAATAAAGTTGTTTAGCGCGCGGAAGTTAATATAAAAGCGGAAAGAACCGTTTTGCTTTTTAACAAAAAAAATTAAAGCTGCAAATAGCGCTGTTAAAAGTTCGATAAAACTTTTATTAAGATTATCGATAAGAAAAGCTTTAATAAGCTCTAGCTCGAAGATCAACATCTTATATAATAGTAAGTATCGAAGCGCTTTCTCTTTTCCTTCGAGAAGCTCGATTTTGTAATCGTAAAGCTTATATAATGCTAGCACGTTGCTAGCGGCTTTAAAGAATACGTATGCGTAATCGAAGTATTCGAAAAAGATAAGAAGGTCGTTAATAAACTCTAATAGTTCCGCTATAAAGTTAATAGCAAAGATAAAGCCGCTAATAAAGCGTGTTAACGCTGCTTAATAATCAGCTTAAGTAAAAGCAATCGTCTAACGCTTAAAGATCAAGCAATCGAGCTTATAAAAAGACGTAAAGAACAGTTTTATATCTTTTTAATAAGCGATTATATAAAAAGCGTGTCCGAAAACGCCGTTGATTTTAAGGTTTCTATTGATTTTGTGCTTAAATATTTAGCGAAAGCGTTTGACGAATAAAAAAGGTTTTACAAAAGCGATATCGGTTAATATAAGCTTACGGTTTATCTAAGACATTAATTTAACGTAGTCTTTAAAAAAAGTGTTTTTCGTAAAGCGAAAAAGTAACGGCTTTACGAGAAAGTAAATAAAAGAAAAGGGTTTAACGATCTTAAAAGAAAAAGCGGAAGAAAGACGATTTTAAAAAGAAAGAAGTGATTTTATAATTATCGTTGCTGCTTGATTTACTCGTGAATTATAGTTTATAAGTGAATTAACGTCGTAAGCTCTTTAAAAGCGGTCTAAAGCTCGATTACGCTTATTAGCGTCGTGTTAATAACAAGCGTTTACTTTACGCTAATTAAAGTATATAATCTTAATAAGTTTAGCGTAAGTAGCGGTCGAAAAGTTAAAACGAAGCTAATAAAGCTTACGGCGAGCGCAATCAAAAAGAATCTAATGCTTAATTAGCTATGCTCGTCCGAGGATCACGTTGTGATTTCTAAGATTAATAATAATAAAAAAAAAAAAGATTAAACGCGCTTATTAATCGTAAGGTTAAGAAGTGCAAAATGTGAAATAATAGCTTTACGAGCTTTATTATATAATTTAATAAAAAATAAAGCCGAGAAAAGTTGAATCAAAAGTTTAAAAAAAAAGAAAATGATTTAAATAACGCTAAATCAATCAGCGCGTACTTATTAGCTCTTAAGTCGAGCAAAGCAAATACTTTATACGAAAGGCTATTCTTAATAAAAGTGATAAGTATAATTATAGCTTTACTATTAAAAAGCTTCGTAAAGTCGAAGTATCGCATATCTCGAAGCTAGCTTAAAAAAAAGGCTTTGCTTAAGCCTCGACGTTTCTTTTATTATCAAGAGCGTCGGAGTCAGCAAAAAAGAGCTTTTAATAATCTTTAAGAGCGTCAAAGTAAGGCTTATCGTTCGAGTCATCCGAATAAAAGCCGTATTTGAGTTTAGCGCTGTATTTTATCTCGTTGATTAAGTAGTAGCGAAAGAGCTTCGGCGTATTCGAGTCTTTATAAGACGATTTAAAAGTTTTGATCGTTAACTTAAAAGCGTTTTCGAAAGAAGAAAATTTATTAAATCGATTAAATCGATCTACACTAAAGCTAAAACTATTAAAAGTTTAACGCTAAAAAGTAAAGAAAAAGACGGGGACTAAGCTACTTTAGCGGTTCTTATAATAAGCGATTTGCTTGACCGCTGCTTTTTAAGCCGAGCGGGATTCGTTACGAGCTTTATTATAAAAGCTCTTCGCGAATTAAGTATTATACTTAGCTTGTAAAGCATCGTAAAGCTTTGCAAACGCGTATTAGCTAGCAACTAATTGTTAGACGGCGGTCTGAAAGTCTTTAAAAGTTATAGTCTTAACAAATTTTAAATAAAGCTAATCGCGCAGCGTCTTAATAATCTTAAAACGCAAAGCTTTACGTAATCGATCTTCGTTTTTAATTTCGGCGGTAGCGGCAAGCTTCGAGAAAACAAAGTAAAAGTCTTAGAACTGCTGTAAACACCCTGCCTGATAGGGTACCTGCCATGGCCACTAAGGCCATACTAGACGGACTTATCTTTTATAAAAGGGCACACATCTTTTAGCTAAAATAATCAACGAGCTTTCTACTTGTCTTTTTCGACACTTCTTTTATAAGACTATAAAGTCTAGCTTCAAAGCTAAGCTTTTATATAGCATATCTTTTTAAGTGCTTTTACATTAATGACTTACGCAAAGATTTAAACCTTTAATCTCTGTCTTTATATAGCTTATTACAATCGCTTGATTCGCAATTAAGTTAACTTTCGTTTATTATTTAACCTTCTTTACACTTTACAACTATAACTTCAAAATAATCAAAACCTTATTCCCGATAAGTTCGGACACCGAAACGCCGCAATAGCCGAAGTGCAATATTTCGGCTTTTCGGCAAAAACTCTTTTTTATTATTAATAAAAAAGAATTTTTACTTATTAGTAAAAATACTTTTTTATACTTTAGCTCTTATCTTAAGTTAAAACAATTAATATAATTTAAAGTTATTAACGAAGATAATTAATTGATTCTTAAGTTTTTTATAATTCTAATCTTAATTATTAATTTACTTTTATAAAGAGTTTACTTTTTTTAATTTCGGATCGAGAATACTTTGCGAAAATCGCTTATTTTACTTATGAACCCGGTTTACGAATCAAAATCAAACAATTTAAAAATCTTTTATCAACTCGATTATTCTTAATATATATATATATTTAATCTTTAAAATATCGAAAACCTTTTTAAGATTTTTAATATCGAAATCGGCGCAAAGTCACTTTTTTCTTCGTTAGAATCTTTTGAATTTGTTAAATCTTTTAATCGTATTTTTATAAGCTTCGGACTATTTTTATCTTACTTCGACTTTCAATCGAAACTTTTATTTTTATCGAAAACACTTGCTTTAGAAATACTTTTTAAAATCAATATCGGTCTTAAGATTTACATTACTTTTCTTCCTTTTATTCCTTTTGCTCTTCTATTAAGCTTTGCGTTAATTATAATCAACTTTGCTATCTTTTACGCTTTTATAACTACTCGTATGCTATTGCTAAGTGCTTTAAGAGCTCTTTGCTTTAATAGTGCTAATATTATCGACTTTATCGAAAAGTACGAAAAGACTTATAATAACTTTAATATTTTTAAAAACGATCGATTCGTTAAGCTTTTTTATTATTACGATAACTTTCGCAAAAAGGTTATTAAAAGCTTGCTCGAATAAAAAGCTAAAAAAAATTAAGCTGCTTTCGTTAAAGCCTTAAAAGCCGAGTTTCGTAAGAACGATATTTAATAGATTAAAGACTCGATCGCTTTCTTGCGAAAATTTGCTATATAAAAACGAAATGTTAATAACTTGAAAAACTATTATCGCACTTTCTTTCGAGTCTTCGAAAGGCTTATTTTAATACATTTCTTAAGCAAGATCGAACAAAGCCGCTTATTCTTTTTCGGATTGCTTATCGAAATCCGAAATAAAACGATTAAGCATTGCAAAGTCGATAAACTCGAT